GTTTTTCCACTACGAATAAGCGGCATTTCTTCAGATTCTGAACTAGAAGAGAAGAACATAAAAAGGGCCTGAGAATGCTAGAGAGAGAGAAAGCTTCGAAAGATGCAAGAGGAAATTGAGGAAGCAACAGAAAAAATGAAAAAGAAGCATCTCTATTTATAAGTAAAGATGCCGCCCAAAACCCTAACCCATGAAGAACACGTGGCAAACTGTGGTTGCACGAATTTATGGCACATTTATGATAATTTAGCACGTTCCCCGAACGATTAATAAGTAATTCATGATGAACGGGTTAGCAGTTTTGGGGAAGCCATCTTAAAGACACCGAACGATGAACGTATTGAGGGGTATCCCGGACCAAGATCGATATAAACCGCATGTTCTTGAACAAGTACCTTTAGATAACCCGAACGGGTAGTATTTGAAGAACAAAAAATAAAGATCAGCGGAATGGGGAAAGTACAGGATCCAGGCAATATTCAGAAGGTGAGCAACTTGTAGAATCTAAGATAATGAGTTGGTGGTACCCGTATTTTTTGGATAGATGGAACATCAGAAACAAGGATTCAAAAAACGACCAAATCCTACAAAACTTTCCGAAGCCCGTACGGCAATCCAAAGGACAGGAACAAAAATCCTGGCAAATCATCAAAAGCCTGAACGACGATACGAAGAATGATCAAAAAATGAGGTCATAAAAACTGCTAAGTCCTATAAAACGGACTGATTCCCGAATGGTAAGCAAAAAATAAATAAAGACAGGAAAGACGATAAGTAAAGCATTGAGAAAAAAGGATTTTATATATATTCATCGGCTCTACTGCCCGGGAAGTACAATGATCATGTCCAAAAAAGGAAAAAGGGGAAAGGAATTAAAATTACTAAAAATTCGAATCTAATCTACTGGTCGGAGGACTCTTTGTTCCTTTCCTCTTCATCATCATCTTCATCCTCATTTGAGTCAGAAGGAGGTTCATGATCCCTCATTGCTTCTCGATCAGCGGCCCGTTGCAATTCTCGCTGGTACTTCTCGAACTGAGCCTCAACGATAGGGACTGAGGGGAGATCGGCAAGTTCGACCGGCCTCCCCAACATCTCTTGAAGTTTGGCCACGAAGAGGGCCAGGATATGCTGGCACCCCTTAACATAGAGAGATTGGGCCAGGGAGTCATTGAATTTTTTACCCCTGGGGTCCTGATCAAGCAGCTTCACCCATTCTTTACGGCGAGCATCACCCTTGGGGAATTTATCAAGGTACCAAAGACTGCCAGAAGTTGTTGGCGAGCGTATTCCTCCTTGATGGAAGTAAACTCATCAGAGGATTTAAATACATCCCGAACGGTGGACAGATCCACATCAATTTCAGAAGGACCGTCCGAGATGCGGGGAGCCGTTTCTACGAACTTAACCTGAACGGCCTCAGCCGCAGAAACTTTAGCTTGGACAGTGGAAAGTTGAACTCGAAGTTCCCCACCTCATTTTCAAACTTTTGCCTTTCCTCGGCAAAGGCTTTCCGCTCGGCCTCCAACGTTGCAAGAGCAACAACAGTATTCTGTTCGGCGGAAGTCTGAGCAACGATCAACTCCCGCTCTTTGGCTAGCCGGACGTCCCTCAGTTGCAAGCTGTATAGCCCGACCTACATAATTTTGTTCGATAAGTGAGATACTGTAGAGCAAAGGTTAACATATATAACAAGTTGTTTCAAAGGTTATAAAAGTAAAGTACCTTCAGGGCCGCTAAGGCCAAACATTCCTCCGACTGCTCAATCGGGAGTTTAGGAACATCGAAGTTGTTAAAGAATGCAGAGGTGGACCAGATTTGACTCGCCGAGTAGCCAGCCTTCTCTACAACTTTGTGAACCGGATCTGCCAATGAGATCCGGTCGACCTGGCCAGAGAGGTGGACGGTATGCGTGCCACCCGTACCCTGGTCGGCATCCTGAGCAGCCTGTAAATGTTCGGAGAATTGATGCAACTGATCAGATCCGAACCGGTTTTCGATCAGCATTGCTTCAAACTGATCCTGATGGGGGACCTGTTGAATTTGGTTGTGACTCCTGAACGGGTTGAGAAGCCCCGGCACCTTGATCAGTGGTGGTGGAAGGATTGGGTTTGAGATTCTTCTTTGCTTTCTTCCTTTTCCCCACACTACCGGCTGCTAGCACACGGCTGTTGTCCAATGGAACGTCTGGATTAGGGGATGAAAAAAATAAACAAAGATAAGAGTTAGTACCGAACGGCCTTATCACGTGGGAAACAAAAAAAGAAGGGACCGTTTCTCGCACGGGAAGGACCGCCCTGACCATGGCACTTGATTCTTTAAAACAAGTAAACCCAACAGAACCGACAATACCTATCCCAGCCTTGATTAGTTGATCGGGGGTGAGATATCCTATGATATCACAAGTTTTGTCCTTCTCTATTGCGAAGACATCCTTGCAGATTTATTCAGTAAGAATCGGATAGGGAGTTTTGCGGGGAAATGCATTCCACTTGCTCGGAATCAGGCCGTCCGAGACGGAGACAAAAAAGAGCCGGTCTTTCCACCCCTTGATTGAGGTAGGATTACCCTTAAATAAGATATGATCCGTTCGGGCAGTTGCAGCCAGGTAACCGTGTGTCTGCTGGGGAGTCACCTTGAAAAATTGATGGAACAACTCTAGGGTGGGAGTAACGTCGGCATCTTTACAATGGCAAATGAAGCCCGCTATCACCCGATAAGAGTTCGGCATAACTTGGGCCGACACTATCTCATAGAAATTGAGGAAGGAAACAACGAAATGGTATAAGGGGAACCTAAGCCCAGCTTTTACTGAGTCTAGATGGACCACCACCATCCCAGGAAGGTGGCGCATCAGATGAAGCCCAGCCCGAAGAAGAAAATTAACTGGATCAGGTATTAGGGCTGGGATTTGGGCCCTATTATGAGAGGTCAATTTTTGCCTCCTTTCCCTAATTAGCCTCAAATCCACCTTATGACGGGGAACGTCACCCGAGAGGCCGGCCGCCATAGAAACGAGTTCATCGCCGGACTTCGTATCGTTGGAATCATCATCAGAAGAAGAGCCGACATAAGAATCCTCTGCCCCCGCCCTAGTCTCCGCCATCGCTTCATTTGAACCACTGGCAAACGGGACATTGATGACGTCCACAACGGCGACATCATGGCCATCCCCTTGGGAAGCCATTTCCGAATCAGAGGAACGCGATTGAAGACTCATACCGACCAGACCGAAGAAAAAGGAGAAAAATAAAGGGATGAAGAATACCTGAACACGAAAAGCTTGAAGAAGGTTTAGAGAGAAGGCAGAGCTAAAGCACGAAGGGTTGAGAATTCGAAACCCAGAATTGAAGAGCTAAAGGCTAATTTATAGTCTGACGAGTGCTGTATTGATGACCAACCAAATAATGACACGTCGCCTAGACTATTTGAAGGGACACGTGTCACATGGAGAAGCAAAGACCAATAATAATGAGGATTATAGGAAAAATCAAACGACAGCCGCAAGAAAGGTACTAATCATGGCATGGGGAACCAACGAATTCTGGATCCTGATCGCCATTCGGCAGGTAACTTCTACTTCCCAATGCACTCACTACCGTTCGAGACATCGGAAGTGGGGGACTCGTGTTGGGATATTGGGCCGCAGGCCCAAATACCCGGATCCAAGGCCCAAGATATCCAGCCCGTTAGACGGGCCCATCATCCAGAAGATGAACCGACTCATGGAAAAATATGTACCGAACGAGGTTCAAATCAATTAATATACTTGGGCCAGATCATTAATGGGCCAGATCAATGATGACTCCAGATCAATATACCGAACGAGGTTCGGTCTAATCAACGGACTTGGGCCAGATCAATGAAGATTCCAGCAGGGTCCACTGCCTGTTCGGGCAGCGGGTAGCCAACAAGTGGCATAGAGCATTTATTGCTAAAGTATGACGGCAGCTAGTGGGAGCATGAGTTCCAAGTGGCTAGATAAAGCAACCAATCAACATGAAGTACCCCATACCCCCTATTAGTATAAATAGAAGGATTAGTTTCATTGTAAAGGGTTAGCATTTTGATACTCAAGCCCAGAATAGCATTATCTCTCCGATTTCTTGTATTAGTTACTATTCCGACATACCGTTCGGGTAGTTTACCGTGTGATAGTCAAATTACTTAGTACAAGTGGGCTTTGGAGTATTCGTTTCTCTTATCTTTTATATTTCTTTTACACACTGAATTATTGTTCCATTTCATTATATATCCAAAGTTTGTGTTGGGCTTTCGGATCTACGGGATTAAACCTCAATAATAGTCATAACAATAACATCATTCCCCTTAATTTTTCTTTTCACTGGCAAACTTTTTAAAACACAACTATGGTCTTTTTAAAACACAACTATGGTCAAAGTGAATAACGTTACTAATTCTTCTCCTCTTAGGAAAAGATGTTAACATAATTTAATGGCATAAGGCATAAATAGAAAATTCTTCCCTTTTCTTTGTTCTCTTTTGGCTATAAAATGTAGTAACACACTGCTACCAAGAAGATTTGGAAAAACACAATTTTATGAGTTCTTTTGTTTTCTTCTATGACAAGAATTTTCAACTTATAAATGGTAAGAAGAGAATAAAATTCACTTCCTTTTCTTTGGTTTCTTCTTCTTCTTGTGCTATGGTTTTGAACCACAATCATAGCCAAAGAGAAAAAATATATATCTTTTTCACTTATTTGGACCAATGATAGCAAGAAAAAGAAAAAATGCATTTTTGCTCAATTATTTTCCTAACTTCTTGGAGAACCTTGAAATGGTAAGGAGAAAAAATGCATTTTTGCTCAATTATTTTCCTAACAGTTGGACTACCATCTTATGACACTGTAATGATTAGAAAAACAACAATTTATTTTCACAATTGTAATAATCAGTTAATTAAAGCAGTAATTTCTTTTCTCTCACGTAAAAGTTATATCTTCGAAATAACTTTCAAACATAATAGGTCAATTCTATTTCATGTGTCTGAAGTAGTTCTGTCTCACTTCCAAAAAGACTAGTTTTGGAAATTTAAACTAACTGCTGGAATGCTTTTATTTAGTCTAGGTAAATCTTCCCTAAATTTACCATATCTGTCAGGTGCCCTCTCAACTCTCTTCGCCCCTGCTTCAATCTCCGTTACCTGTCTATTTATCAATTTAGTTGAGCACTTGAGCGCGATTGCAGAAGCCCTGATCCCAAATATATTCCGTCTTTTAAGAATAAAGAAACTTCAATTTGCAGTTTCGGGAAAAGAAAAGCCAAATGGAAGCAGAGATTAAAGAATTACTTAGTCATCTTGAAACGCTCAAAAAAGGAATGTTAGCTGATTCCTATCAGCTCCAGTTGGTTGATAAGGTAAATTGATACCCATTTTTCAGATGTTAGTGTTCAATGCTTACATGTTTACCTTAATACATATAATTGGAAAAGCAGTCTAGATATGTTTTTAGATATAGATATTATTTAAGTTAAAGCCATAAAAGTTTGATAGTATTATTTTTTGGGCTATTCCATATAGATTCGTTTGTGTGCTGAGCATGCCCTAACAAAGTCAGGACCTCTAAGACGCTCCAAAGTGAAGGTAATTGTGTTACCTTATTCTATCATTGCATAATCAATTAAGCACATTGGCTAAAGTTTGAACAAATTTCTCTGTAGGATATGAGCTCTGAGGTGGTTGATAGCAATCCATATAGCAGACTTATGGCACTCCAGAGGATGGGGATTGTGGAGAACTATGAAAGGATAAGGGGTTTTTCTGTTGCTATAGTTGTATGTAATTTGATCTCTTTCCTTTATGTTTTAACTTGTAATTACGTAGGTCCTTTTGTTCATTTTTCTGTGCATATCATTATAGATCCTAAGTGGCTAATATTAGAAGAAACAAAAGCAATATCTTTTCGCACGAGCATTAAACATCACTTTTTCACTCCAAATTAAACAATACGTAGTAGTATTTTGTTATTATTGATACTTTTGATTTTTGGTTGGCATGTATTTATATATATAAGAAACGTGTGTATACAGTATTTCATGAATGTTGATTTCTGTAAACGTTTTACTACTTTGAGCCTGTAATGCTGGTCTTATTTTCTGAGACGTGGTGGTGTTTTAAGTGACTTAACATATGTGTTATTGTAGTTTCTTTTCTTTGGTGGTGGTCTTTTCACATTATATATTCATCTTTATTACTAGCTGCTCTAGTAATGCTTCAGAAGTTAAATGAAGGCGATGTGATTTATGAGTGGTTCTAAGCCGGACTTCTCTTTCTTATTAAAACACCTTTTGCAGTTGTAGTACACGTTAGTATTGCCACAGATTTTACTCAAGTATTCATTTCGTTGTTCCTAATGTTATGTTGAACAGGGCATAGGTGGTGTAGGTAGCGTTGCAGCTGAGATGCTAACAAGATGTGGCATTGGTCGACTTTTATTGTATGATTATGACAAAGTGGAGTTAGCTAACATGAATAGGCTATTTTTTCGCCCCGAGCAGGTGTTCATATGAAAGAATTCTCAGTTTTAATCTCCAATCGTAAATTATCCTGGTTTACATACTTTTTAAAAACGGTATATAATATTTACTTACAATAGGGAGACTGTATTTTCCTATTTGAATGCATGTTTTTTCTTATCTAAAGATTTTGTACCTATGTAGTATTATGAATCATTGTTTCTCAGAGTTGATGGTAAAACAAACATTTGCCTAATGCCATTCAATACCTTTTGCATTTTTTCAGGTTGGTATGACAAAGACAGATGCTGCTGTTCAGACCCTAGCTGAAATAAATCCTGATGTTGTTCTTGAGGTTAGGATTACAGATTTAGCAATTTTTTGTTTTCTGTTTTGGGACTATTTCCTCTCACCCCACCTCTTCACATACGAAAATAATACATATGTTGACTTGTTCCCATATAGCTTGTGATTATATTTTTGGTGTCTTTTTTATGTTTTGCTGCTTGTTTTGTTTAGTCTGCATTGAACCTGAAAGCTGTGGATCTTGCTTTGACATTTATTGTGCCATATAGTTATTCACTTATTCTTGATAATATTCTTGAAGCTTGAACTGCTTAAATTGAGTTGTGGTTGCTAATAGTCAACACTTTGCTATCTTTTTTCAAGTTATCTCACTATTTCTTCTTCTTCTTTTAGAGTTATACACTTAATATCACAACAGTTGATGGTTTTGAGACGTTCATGTCAAGCCTCCAGAACAAATCATTCTGTCTAAATAAAGAAGGTACCGGGGTAGATCTTGTATTGAGCTGTGTAGATAACTACGAAGCAAGGATGGTCGTAAATCAGGTTGGTATGAACAAGTATCTTATAAACACCTTGCAAACGTATGCAGAAGAATCTGTTCATGGACTCAATATTAAGTTGTTTTCTTGGTCTATTATGGTCATCCCCTTTAATGTACAATTTTCTATAGCTAAGCCAAAACTCGGTTTGACAGGCATGCAATGAATTAAACCAGATTTGGATGGAATCTGGTAAGTCATTTGTTTTTCGTTTTTCTCTGCTTTTTTTATATCATATTCCACATACACTTTCTTGCTTATGCGAAGTGTTTCATGCAAATGACACACTAAAAATACTTGTGTCTTACTATTTGAGTTAGAAAAGAAGCAAAAAGATATCATCCATGCTCCATTATGATGGAGTACATCTAAAGATAACAAATTTAGGAGATGCTGCCTCTACTACTTATAAATGATGCAACATGGTAGTATACTAGTATCATGTGTATCACAAGAGTTGTATCTCAATTTGAATCAAACTTGATGCTAAATAATTCAAGTTGCTGTATTGTTTTTGAGCTTAATCATTTTATGTATTGCATGAATCACATCTGGATTCTGTTGATTCACAGTTCTTGAGTGGTCCATGTGATCCAAACAAGTAGGGCGTGAAGGCAATCATGAATTGGGTTGGATGATCGGACCATATTTGTTTGTCTTCTGTTTTTTGAAAGAGGGGAATTGGCAATATTCAGTTTCAACCATGCCCATATTATGTTTTAATGCCTTGCCTTCAATTTATATAATGCCCAATTTTCTTCCAACTTCGAAGTCAGACTATTGTGTTCTCCTATTTCATTTTTAATGCGAACACAATGAAGTGGGTGGGTTTTGTTGTAAGAATTAAAGATAGAATAGTAATGAGAAGAATGAATTTTTGTGTGTATTTCATTGGAGGGTCAAGCCCATATATATACATTACAAAGATAGAATATTCCTTTAAGATTCTATACAATAATAATATCCTAGAGTATATTCCTAAAATATTCTAAAGCATATTCTAAAGATAGAAGAATATTCTAAAACATATTCTAAAGAATATTCTATAATGTCTTTCACACTCCTCCTCAAGTTGGAGCATAAATATTTATCATGCCCAACTTGTTACATAAGTAACCAACACGAATTCCATTTAGTGCTTTAGTGAACAAATCTCCAAGTTGCTCTGCAGTCTTCACATGTCCTGTAGAGATCAATCCTTGTTGTATCTTTTCTCGAACAAAGTGACAATCGATCTCAATATGTTTTGTTCTCTCATGAAACACTGGATTGTTGGCAATGTGTATAGCAGCTTGGTTATCGCACCAGAGTTTAGCAGGCATTGGTGTCTTCAATCCCATTTCACTCAATAAATGGTTTATCCAGATTATCTCACATGCCGATTGTGCCATAGCCCGATATTCTGATTCAGCACTCGAACGAGAAACCACATTCTGCTTCTTACTTTTCCAAGAGACGAGATTACCACCAACAAAGACGCAATAGCCAGATGTGGATCTTCTATCATCTTTAGATCCAGCCCAATCAGCATCTGCAAAGCATTCTATTCTCATGTGATTATGATTCTGATAAACAATACCTCGTCCCGGTGTCCCCTTCAAGTAACATAATATATGCTCTACAGCATTCCAATGATCCACTGTCGGAGATGACATGTATTGACTTACTATACTCACTGAGTATGCAATATCTGGACGGGTAACTGAGAGATAATTAAGTTTTCCAACCAACCGTCTATATCTTTCCGGATCTTCGAATGGCATACCTTCATGAGTGAGTTGTACATTGGGAATCATGGGAGTACTGCTTGGTTTTGCCCCCAATTTCCCTGTTTCAGTTAGTAAGTCAAGCACATATTTACGTTGAGATAGAAATATGCCTTTCTTACTCCGTGTAACCTCAATTCCCAAGAAGTATTTCAATGAGCCCAAATCTTTCGTCTGGAATTGACTATGAAGAAAATTCTTTAGGGCCAAAATACCTTCATTATCACTCCCTGTAATCACAATGTCATCAACATACACCACAAGCAATGTAATACCTGTTTTCGTTTGTCTGTAAAATACAGAGTGATCTGATTTGCCTTTTATCATCCCAAATCGTTCAATTGATTGGCTGAATTTCCCGAACCATGCACGGGGACTCTGTTTCAAACCATAAAGAGACTTGCGAAGTCGACAAACTTTCCCATACTCCCCCTGAGCAACAAACCCCGGAGGTTGCTCAATATAAACTTCCTCCTGAAGATCACCATGCAAGAATGCATTCTTAATGTCCAATTGATGTAAGTGCCAACCATGAGTTGCTGCGAGAGAAATAAGTAATCTGACAGATGTTAATTTAGCAACTGGAGAAAATGTGTCAGAATAATCAACGCCATAGGTTTGAGCATAACCCTTCGCAACTAATCGGGCTTTCAATCGAGCAACGGATCCGTCAGGGTTAACCTTTACAGCAAAGACCCACTTACATCCTATAGACTTCTTCCCTGTAGGCAAGTCTACCAAATCCCAGGTACCATTAAGATCCAAAGCATTCATTTCCTCTACCATGGCATGACGCCAATCAGGATGAGACAAAGCATCTTTAACAGATTTGGGAACAGAAATAGAATCAATGGAAGCAATAAAAGAACACGAGGCAGATGATAACTGATTATACGACACACATGAAGAAATAGGATGAGTACAAGACCGTGTACCTTTACGTAGTGCGATGGGGAGATCAAGATCTGACGTAGAGACAGGATCTGAAGATGCAGGTGTCGGTTCAGGATATGAGATCGGATCAGTATCAGGAGAAGTAACCACAGGTGGAGGGTGATCTTGCACTTTGTGTCGACGGGTGTATACCAAGTGTATCGGAGGCCTAGGCTCAGGAAAAGTAACATGGGGAAGAACTGCTGAAGTATTGGGCTCGGGTATAGTGACTGTGTAAATGAGTATATCATCATTCTCCCTACAGATATTTGTGTCTGTTGATGAAAATGGTGTATTTTCATAAAAGGAGACATCAATTGAAACAATATACCGACCTGTACTTGGAGAAAAACATCTGTACCCCTTTTGAACTCGAGAGTAGCCTAAGAAAATGCACTTTAATGACTTGGGATCTAACTTTGTTAAATGGGGATTAACATCTCGTACAAAACAAGTGCAACCAAAAACTTTAGGAGGAATAGGAAAATTTTCATTATTTGGAAATAGGCACTGATATGGAGTTTTACCATCTAAAACAGTAGATGGCATTCGATTGATCAAAAAACATGCGGTAGACACAGCATCTGCCCAAAAATGTTTTGGCACATTCATTTGGAATAGAAGAGCCCGCGCAGTTTCTAATAGATGTCTGTTCTTTCGTTCAGCAACTCCATTTTGGGGAGGTGTGTCTACACATGAAGTTTGATGAATTATGCCATGTTGAGCCATATACAACTTAAATGAGGCAGACAAATACTCTTGAGCATTGTCTCCCCTTAAAATACGAACATGTACATTAAATTGAGTTTTGATTTCAGCACAAAAGGCACAAAAATGAGAAAATAACTCGGAACGGCGTTTCATGAAATAAATCCAAGTCATACGAGAATAATCATCAACAAAGGTAACAAAATATTTAAAACCAGATTTGGACACAACAGGGCAAGCACCCCAAACATCAGAATGAACCAGTTCAAAAGGAGCATGTGCTCGTTTATTGACTCGAGGACTTAGACTACTTCGATGATGTTTTGCAAATTGACACGAATCACACTGTAAAGATGACACCTTATTGAATTGAGGATAAAGCTTCTTTAACAACGGAAGAGAAGGGTGACCTAGTCGATAGTGAGCCTCTAACACAGTTCCAATGCCAAGACAAGAGATTGATTTGGGTAAGGATGTATCCAAGAGATAGAGACCGGCCGACTCATATCCTTTACCAATAACCTGATTCGTCAACAGATCCTGAAATACACAATATCCAGGAAAAAAGGTTACGGAACAATTAAGTTTACGTGTGATTTTGCTGATCGAAATCAAATTGAAAGCAAAATTTGGAAGACTTAGGACGGGTGACAAAGGTAAGGTAGATGTTGGGACAATTGTACCCGTACCAAGAACGGGTGACGTAGATCCGTCAGCCAAAGTCACACTAGAAGAATGAAGAGGTGTGTGGAATGAGGAAAAAAGACTAGGATTACCTGTCATATGATCTGTTGCTCCTGAATCGATAACCCATTTTGAGGATGAAGATACAAGACATGTGTTTGGATTACCTGAATTAGCTACAGCTGAGATAGGAGTAGATGAATGCTTTAGAGCCTCCTGGTAACCTAGGAATTTGGCATATTCCTCCGAAGACATAATGATGGATCCATTAGATGGCTGTGTAGCGGAAGCAATGTGAGCGACTTGATTTCCTTGAATTTTGAACTTTAGCTTTCGACAATCTTTGATCAAGTGTCCGGGTTTCTTACAGTAGTTGCATACTACTCCTTTGCCAATCGGTCCTGTGCGTGGCCACTTCTCACCTCCATTGGGGAATGTTGGGACTTGTCCTACAAAAGCATTGCTTGGCTGAGGTGCTGATGATGTGGATGAAGTGTCAGTGCGAAGCACTCTACTGAAAGCATCTTGAAGAGAAGAGACCACATCACTAGATAGGATATGTGATTTGGCTGTTTCAAAATCAGACGTAAGACCAGCCAAAAAGCTCATGACTGCCATTTGTTCGCGTTGTTTCTGCTGCACTTTGATATCAGGACTAAAGGGCATTAAGGTATTAAGTTCTTCATACGTTTTCTTGAAATCCATAAAATAAGCTGTGAGAGGCTTATCTTTCATTTCTGCCCTGTAAAAGGCTTTGCACACCTCATAGATGTGGTTAAGATTACCTTTGCCAGAATACATAAATTCCAAATAATCAAAGAGTTCTTTCACAGTATCACAATGACTAACATACCCCATGACGTCATTCTCCATGGAGTTCTGAATCTGGATAAATAATCTAGAATCATCACGAAGCCAGACAGCATTAGTAGCTCTATCAATCTCCTCCTTTGGCGGGTCATCAACTAAGTGGGTGTATTTATCAATGCTTCGTAAATAACGTTTGATAGTTTTACTCCATTCAAGATAGTTAGAGCCACAAAGTTTATTCTCAGTAATTTTAAAATTAATGGGAATAACTTCGGAAACTACCAAAGGCTG